CCCCCCCCCCCCCCCCCCCCCTTCTCCCTCGCAATGTGCTTGGTACCACTCGTTTATCCCGCATTCTGTCCGAGTTATCTCGAAAAAGTTGATTAGACGGCGTCCCCTCCCCTCCCCGCCTCCCCGTCCCTTTCCCCCCATCCCCTTCTTCGGCTGGTGATACCTTCGGCTGTTTACTAGCCGTTTGTTCGCGCCAAATGTCTCTAGGCGTCCCTCCCGCGCGTCCTTCTCTGCCGGATTCCTCTCCCTACCACATGTTCTTTCTCGTCACATGCCCTATTTCGTCATATCCCCTTCCCGCCAAATGCCCCTTGGCGCCAATGGCTATGTTGTAAACAAGTGAAAGATGATGTCACAGTGACGGGACGTTCAGTCGGGAGGGGGAGGAGGGACGAGGAGGCGGGGCTTGTTTTTTGCGAGTTCAATGCATTTTTTTTCGAAATGGGGTGGAAAATTTTACAAAAAGTGGAAAATTTTACAAAATTTCCCAGGAACATCGTATCAACTTTCATTTTCGTATAAGTCTAACACACGGTCACGTGGAAGTTTTGGCGGAAATTCCAACTGGTCACTGGAATGCCCTTATGTGCTAGAAGCAGCTGGATTTTACGGCAATCGGACTTAAGTGAAGCAGCAAGCTTGCCTATTCGTCCATGCGATTCCCCTAAAAATTTTTAGCTTTCTGGCTTTTCTGGTCCCCGAGTTAGCAACTTACGCGCCAAAAACTTTTATGAGCTTTGCATGCGAGGAACACGTACATCTGAGAGCTGAATTTGAAATCATCAGGCTCCACATGGATGAGAAACAACCCCTTAAAATTTTAGCCTTATAAGTTTCCTTGGTTCTCGAATTAGCAACGTATTCGCCAGAAATTTTCACGAAACTGTACGTAAGTACAACGTAAGCTTAGGGACTGAATTCGAAACGTTTGAATTGTACGTGGGCTTGGGACATTCCCTTAAAATTCCAACCTTCCAGCTCTCCTGGTTCTCGAGTTAGCGATTTTCCCGCCAAAAACTTTTTCGGGGCCATCACGACTTGGGGTTGAATTTCAAACCTCTAAATTGTACGTGGGCTGGGAACATTCCCTTAAAATTTCTCCCTTCCAACCCATTTTTGTCATTTATAATTCTCAACAAGGTCGAAGTCTGCTCTGCAGTCGCAGACGCTCGGTTTCGCAACCACTCGGCTCGTTGAATTCGACTATCAATGTTACAAATTTCGCAAATCCAAATGGGCACGAATTTTTTAGGAATATGCAAAAACCGATTTGTGGCTAAAAATGGCTTGGCCATTTTTGGATGTGTGCTAATGTCATCTACAAAGCATAAATGATTTTTAACTGCGCCATCGGACGTGTATTCACGTGAAACTTGAAGAATTTATGGGAAATTTGAAAATTTTATGAGGTTTCACATGTATATTCACGTGAAATCCCATAGAATTTTCAAATTTTCAATTAACTTTGCTGGAAATGCAAATTTGGCGGACTCTTTTTTGCATTCA